CCCTAGTTTGGATGCGCGGGGCCCTCCCCCGCCCGGAGGTCACAGTCGCCGCGCTGGCCTGCTTCGGCAGCGAGGACGCGGGCGTTCGCCGCATCTACGGCTGCGAGGCGCCGGGGCCCAGCGGCAACCGCACCGCCGCGCGGCGCCGGAGAAAAGCGGGCACCCGCGGCTCGCAGCCGCCGATGAGGCCGACGAGGACGAAGACGAAGGCGACGACGTCGCGCCCAGATCTCCGACCATGGGAAATTTTGTCCATCCGAGTGTTCTTCCTCGGTTTGGGCCTCCAGGGCCCGTCATCGGGCCCAGGGGCCATCAAAAGCAGATCACGCACGAAACTCTCTCGCCGGGAAAGGGGTCGGGGGAAAGGGGTTGCGGATTGAAAGCCCATATTGGAGGATGTGTGGGTCCTCGTCTGGGTCGAGGAGGCAGGAGACGGAGGAGGCATGAGGAGCGACCAGAAGGAGGGGGAGGAGGGAGGCGGGCCTAGGGGGAGGAGCGAGGAGAGGAGGAGGAGCAGGAGGAGGAGGAGGAGGAGGAGGAGGAGGAGGAGGAGGAGGGGCGAGGAGCGAGGAGCGAGGAGCGAGGAGCGAGGAGCGTGGAGGACTTGAGGAGGGGCATGACGAAGTCCGGGGGAGGATGCTGGCCAGGACGACGACGGCGCCGTCGATCTCGGCCGGGGGGTGCTCTCCTCGATCTCGGACTCCCAGAGGTCGCCCCTTCGGTGCCACGGGGTCAGGGTGAAAACAAGCACATCCAGGGCCGGCTTCGCAGGAGGCCTTCAGGCCCGACTTCGTTCGCACATCCTGGTCGGGCGACCATGGCGATCGTGGTCGACGGCGACGGCGGCCTCTGGGCGGCCTCGCCGCCGCCCTGTCCGCCGCCGCGTCCGCCGCCGCCGCCGCCGCCGCTGCTCCCTCTGCCCTCCCGCGCCCTCCCGCGAGGGGCGCGGACGGCGGGGCGGCGTGCGCGGCGGCGACCACGAACGGCCAGGCGCGGACGCCCGCGGCCGCCGCCGGCCGCCGCGAGCTGGCGGCGGCGAGGGCGGCCGCCACCCCCGTCCTACCGCGTAGCCTTGTTCGCTCAGGCTTTGCAGCTGCGCTGTCCGCACGGCGGCGGCCGCCTTCCTGCCCCTGGCGCGCGGCGGCGCCGCGCGCCGCGCCGCGGGGCCGGCGGCGGCGCGGCGCGCCGTGGCCGCGCCAGAGGCGGCCGCCGAGGCGGCGAGCCAGGCCCCCCTGGGCGGCCCCTCGGGCGCCTTGCCTCTCCAGTCGCCCCGTCTCCGACGCAGGGTTTTGTTCGATCCGCTCCTCGGCAGATGCAGCACCGGCCTGCCAGGGCCACTGCTACCGCTGCTCGGCGGCACGGCTCCACGCCGCGGTCGGAGGCTTCCGAGGGCTGCCATCACCGTCACTGACACGTACAGGTGAGTGGCACTGACGCGAACGCATGATGGTCACGAGGACAGCGCGACTGGTAGTTTCAAAGAGGTCTTAGCAAGGCAAGACATTCGCAGAAGTACGGCTAGTCCCACGGCCCACAGCGTGTTTTTGATCGCACTAGTGACGCTGCGTCTCATTGGCCCGTCCACTTGGTATGGCCCCGCGTAGTGGCGATAGCAATGTTCCTTTTTGACGTCGCAGACAATAGGCAGAGCAGACGGACGGCTCACCTCTGGAGGTCCGTAGTGTTGCCCCCCCCCCCCCCAAAGCTCAGGGCTGGCAATACACTCCGCGCATTCCCCGATTCGCCGTGTCCTTCCCCTCGACAGCGACAACACGACTGCGACGGCGGCGACGACGACGGCGACGGCGGCGGCGGAAGAATTATTTGCCGAGTGTTGTTGGATGTCTGCAGCCATCAAGTAGCCCACAGGAAATTCTTCACCACGGTGCAACCACTTTTACAGGCAACATCAGCGCGCGAAACCTTCAGAATAGCACCCGAGGCAACCATAACAGAAATTGCAACCAGAGTCGGTGGTCCAGGGCCCAGGCATGCGCCAGCAAGACCTTGAGCACCCCGGACACGCAGGGAATGTACCCGAGCACCCTACAAGACGGGCGCCCGCGGTCCGACTCGCACGACCGCTCTGGTCCTTCCCGCTCGAGCGCCTGCCCAGCCGCAGGACGCGCAGACGCAGTCCTACATCGCCATGAACCGGTTCATGGTCCGCGACGGCCAGGGACCCGCGTTCGAGCAGAGGCGGGGTTTCCTCCTCTTCCTCCTCACCCTTCCCTTCGCCCCTCTCCGCTCGATTTTGTTTTGGAATGCCAGGATGGGTGGGGGGCCCTGGACACAGTCGCGCTGCACAGCCCGTGGCCTTTGCGACGGCCTCGGCGCCCGCCAGTCCCCAGGCAGATGGCGCCTGCAGCTGCCTTCGTAGTTCGAGCGGGCGGATGCCACCGTATGTGGGCGAGCGGACAGAGATTGCAGGACATTCGTTTTACCACCCAGAAGGATGTCGACGTGCTATTTTGCGGCGCGCAGGCTGCCAGACAGGCGGAAGGAGTTCTACGGACGAGACAGAATGGAGGTACGATCTCGGAGGTGGTCCACCAAGCTGGAGCGTTGACGACGATGGCAACTGGATGTGCAGCGATCCCCCGTGCAGGGTAGAACGCCAGACGTGTGCGACAGACGTGGGCACCACCGAAGCAATGGGCGGGGCGGGGTCTGGCGGTCTGGGTACGAAGGAAAGGGCCATCAATCATTGACAATATCCTGGCATCGCTTGGACGTGTGCATTTTTTACTCGGCGAGAACCATCGAGGACCATCCTCGGGCAAAAAAAAACACGCACGAAATCGACACATGCACGGGAAATGGGAACTGGACGTCCGAGCGACGGCGAGATATAGGTTTCGTTCGGTACTTCAAGCTTTGCCATACCGAACGTTGCCTGCTGGTTAAATCCGAGATCAATGGCGGATTGGGAACGTCAGTGAAGCCATGTGGCTGGATCGAGCCACATGTCCCAGCTCTGGGGGCCACGAGGACACGAGAAATACGCAAACACAGAGCAGGAGAAACGACTCTAGATGTTTGACTTGGGCAGAGCATGACATCAGCGACCTTAGACTGTCCTCATTCACATACGTATTGGTCATCCAACAGTCCGTCAACAGGCAGCATGGTCGACTATTGTGTTTTGTTTCCTCGGGGATGGTCTTGTCCCACATAATTCGCGACATCGGAGGTATGCTGCAGCCTGTTCGAGGCATTCCTCCGCGCGACCACAGCCTTGAGTTGAGCTACAAGAAGGATCTGGGATAATTGCCACCTGCCCCTCATACGTATCCGACTCAGTGGCGATGCGCCGATGGCGGCGATTCTTCGGGGTAGAAAGAGGGAGTGTCTCTACAGGCAGTTGGGAGCCAGCTCAGAGAGAGCGAGGAACAGCTGAGGGAGCTGGCAGCCAAGCGCTCGCTGGATTCTTGCTGAGAAGCGTTCGAATCCGTGCTGTGCGAGACGGGTGTAATCCTCCTCCTCCTCCTCCTCCTCCGCCCTCCTCCTCCCTCCTCCTCCTCCTCCTCCTCCTCCTCCTCCTCCTCCTCCTCCTCCTCCTCCTCCTCCTCCTCCTCCTCCTCCTCCCCCTCCCTCCTCCCTCCTCCTCCTCGAGACCAGCGCGGGCACCAAAGGAGGATGATTCCTGCGAGGAGCCTCGCGGGGCGAGCGGCCCTGCCACGAGCGAGCTTTTTTTCAGCGGGGCAGGCAACTCGACGGGTGCTCCCGGCCGGGGCGGCCCGAGCCCGGGGCGCGCCCGCGCGCGCGGCCCGACGAGGCTGGCCGGTCACGCTGAGAACAAAGCCTTGGCAGGATCGCGTCTTGCAAAAAAAAGTCAGGACGGGAGGTTTTCGGCCATTTTCGGCCTCGGGGGGCCCTCGCCGGGCCTCGGGGCCGTCGAACAACGACGCAGGATGAAAAACCGGTCCCGGGGAGCGGGGCCGGATTTGCAGGGGTTCCCCGAGCGCCGCGGGTCGAGTTTGGCATCCGCGTCTTTCAGGAGGGGAGAAAACACACAGACACAATTAATTGGCGATTCCAGAGAATATGGGAAAATATGGGCAGTGGGCGGGAAGACAGAAACCCAGAAAATATGGGAACATATGGGGGATATTTTTATTTGTGTGTATTCATTTGTGTGTCCCAGTTCCCCTTCAGTCCTCCAATCCCCCTGCTCTTGCTCATCCTCCCGCGCTTTCGATCGTTCGCCTCGCTTGCGCCCTCAAGACCTAACTGCCATGAGCTGCGGCGCTGCCCGGACGGGACGGCCACCAGCATGCGCCAGCAGCATACGGATACGAGGGGTGCGGCGGCACGAGCTCTCGTTGCGTGGTGATGCCGACGAGGTCGAGCGCAACTACGTTCGGGCCGGACGAAAGGGGGGATTGGGAAAGGGGGGGTTACGAAATGTGCTGCGTGCAGCTGTTTTCGGCCTCACCGAGGGGCTCCTTCCTCGATGGATAGCCGCCTCCGGCGCCGGGAGGCGCCGGGAGAATCAGCTACATGAGCTGATTCTCACCCCCCCTTTTGCTATCCCCCCCTTTCGCCCGACCCGATACGTGCGATCCTCCCGCGCCTCCTCCACTCTCCCGTGGGGACGGGCGGTGGCGCGCCCCAGGTGGGCGCAGCGGAAGTCGTCCCTGAAGACGCTGCAGGGCTTCGAGTGGTTCGCTCTGATGCGGCGGGTGCAGTCGCCAGGCCCTCCTGAGCCTGTGGGGGAGAGGAGGGGGCGGAAGCGGAGGATTAGGAGGTGGAGGAGGAAGAAGTGTTGAGGAGGAGGAAGAGGCGGAGGAGGAGGATGAGGAGGTGGAGGAGGAATGAGGGTGGAGGAGGAGGTTGAGGCGGAGGAGGAGGAGGAAAAGGAATTGGAGGAGGAGCAGGAGAAGGCGGAGGAGGAGGGAGAGGAATGGGAGGAGGAGGGAGGAGGAGGAAGGCGGCCGCCGCTGCGGGCAGCGCGCTCGCGCTCGCGCGCCGCCGGGGAGGGCGGCAGCGGCGCGCCAGCTCCAGGCCGCGCCGTGCGCGGAGGCGGCCTGGCCGGGCCCGAGCCCCCCAGCTCGGCCCGAGCCCCCGAGCTCGCCGGCTGAGCTGCCGCTGCTGGCTGCGCCGCGGCGCTGCTAACCAGGCAGCGAGTATCGGACTCTCAGGGGCTGCCAAGAGGGGGGGGGGGTGATGACTAGGGGGAGGTGGATCTCATGGCGGGGGCCATGATATCTACCCAGTTTTTTCTTGGCGCTTTCTCCTATTCTATGACGTCCCTGGTCCCCCCCCCCTGGGCCGCCCACATGCCGCCGGCCATGATTTGCGCTCCCCCGTCTCTGTCTTGGACGACCCCCTCATGACCGCCCCCGAGAGTATGCCCATCTTGAGTGCAACGCTGACGGCGAAGCACAGCTTCCCTTTGTTTCCGAGGATCTTTTGGCGGTGCTCGGTGGTGTCCGAGAGGTGTGGGGTGTTTTTCTGGGCGGCTTCTGAAGGTTCACGGACGGACCAGTCTGTTGCGGGTGTCTCGCCGCCCTGACCGTTGTGCGCTCGTCTTCACCACCGCGGCTGCGCTCGCTTTCCGCCGGCGTTTGGTTGCACGCGGTGTCGGCGTCGACGCTGCTCGCCCTGGCCGTCGCCGCTCCAGCGATGCTGTGGCGACGGTGGCCCGAGGGCCGTTCGGATCCGTTGAGGGCCCCCTGTGCTGGCTCCGTGTTGGGATCCATGTAGGGCCCCCTGCGCTGGCTGCTGCGTGCTGGAGAACTTCCTTCGCGTGTGCTCGGCCCGTGGTCGCGTTTTCCGCGGGCGTCAACTGCACACCCGCACCGATCCTGGCCAGGATCGGTGTGTGTTGCGTGTGTTCGTGTGCACTGCATGCTTCCCTGGCCAAGCCAGAGGGGGACGTGCACACCGCTCCTGTTTCCAGCAGGTGCCCGGCCCATGGCGGCGGATGTGGACAGACTTCGCCCGCCGGGTTGGGTGCACGACCGAGTCGGCCTCTCGGTGCGTTCTGGCGAACGACTGGCTCCAGGCATCCGTTCTGGGTCTACGCGTCTACGCGCGGAGCTCTTCGTCCAAGCGCTGTGGGAGCCGCCTGTCGCGTGTCGGGGCGGCCGAGCCTCGAGCGTCGGGAGAGAGCACCGCCTGGGGCGTCCGCGCTGCGCACAAGGGAGGACGAGGCGTGGCAGTCGTGATGGCCGCGGTGGTTTGGGGGGCATGCACTGGTGCGCGGCCTGGCGGTGCTCGCTTGCCACCCTCCTCTGGCAGTGGGGGGGGGAAGGAGGAGGAGGAGCGGGAGGAGAGCGAGGAGGAGTGCGGAGGTGAGCGTGAGCTGGGGGGCGGGGGGCAGCGGAGAGAGGGGAGAAGAGAGGACGGGGGACACGAGCACGAGGGAGGGGAGGAGCGGCGGAGAAGGGAGAGGGCTGGAGGGTGGGAAGAGGCATCGGGGGGAGCCAGAAAGGGGCCAAAGGCAAGGGTGCATGGGTGAGACAAGAAGGGCGAGGTGCAGAGGGAGATGAGAGCAGGATTGGGCGGAAGTGCAAACAGACCACTTGAGCCTCGTCTCATTCCTCCTCCTCCTCCTTCTCCTCCTCCTCCTCCTCCTCCTCCTCCTCCTCCTCGTCCTCCTCCTCCTCCTCCTCCTCCTCCTCCTCCTCCTCTCCCCCTCGGGCCCGTCTTCCTCCCCTTGCCCCCCCTCACCCCACACACAACCATAGATCGCACAGTTCGCCGCTCAGCTCGCATCCAGCTCGACTCTGCGACACCTCGGGTCCGTTCCGTTAAGTTTGGCCGCCGTGTCTCCGCCTAAGTCATCGTCTCGGCCTCTGGGCGGGCCTCCAGAGCCACGAAATCACCCCATCCGCCGCCCCCATCCGCCTCCCCCTCCTCCTCCATTCTCCCTCCATCCTCCTCCTCCTCCTCCTCTTCTCCTCCCTCCTCCTGCGTATCCTCCTCGTCTTCCTCCTTCTCGTCCTCCTCGTCCTCCTCCTGCTCCTCCTCCTCGTCCTGCTCCTCCTCCTTCTTCTGATCCTCCTCCTCCTCGTCCTCGTCCTCCTCCTCCTCCTCCTCCTGCTCCATCTCCTGCTCCTCCTCCTCCTCCTCCTGCTCCTCCTCCTTCTGCTCCTCCTCCATCTCCTCCTCCTCCTCCTCCTCCTCCTCCTCCTCTTGCTCCTCCTCATCCTCTTCTTCCCGTGGTCTCGGCACCATCTGCTCAGATCGAGCCGCCTACTTTCGCTCCCAGCCAACCCCTCTTGTGCCTGTCGTTTCGCCCCTCTCTGCCATGCTGGCGGGTCTAACTCCTGCGTGTGGGGGTTCGGGAGGCGGAACCTCTACCACCTCGATGCGGCAGTTGCTTGTCCGACCCAGCCTCCTCGACAGTGCTTCGGGATGGCTGGCAATGGCCCCGAGCAGGACGAAGATGGCGACGGTGACGAGTCGGCGGCGGCGGCGACGACGATGAGATCGAGAAGGGTGCCGACGACGACGACGACGACGACGACGACGACGACGACGCCGACGGCCTCCAGCGGCGGCCGCCGCCGCCGAGTGCTTTAGGGAGCGGGCGGCGTTGGAGGCTTTGGGGGGCGTGGAGTCGGGCGTCTGGCGTGGGGAATCCAATGAAATTGTGACGAGGAGGTCTCGCAAGCGTGATGTCTTTGCCACCCCGGGCGCTTACACGGCGTTCTCCTCCGAGGGGGGGGGGGGGGGGCCGCGGCCCCTCGCCTGCCTCTTGCTCGCCGCACCTCTGCTCTCCCCCTGGCAGGGGGCAGGTCGGCCTGGGCGGGCCTTCGGCCCGCCCCGCCCCCGCCGCTGCCCCCTGGGCTGAGGGGGCCGGTGCCCGTGCGGCGGCGCCGTCGAGAAGCGCGGCCGGGGCCGTGGACGCCGGGCGGCGGCGAGCTGGAGCGCGGCCTCGCGCGTGCAGGCCGTCTCCTCGCAGCGCGCTGGCAAGCCGCGGCTGCCTCGCAGACGACCCCGAGCTGCAGGTGCTGTTGCGCGCTTGCTGGCTTTCAGCGGCTGTTGCGTTGGTAGGGTTTTCCGAATTTCCCCCTAGCCCCCCCTCCCCCTCCCTCCTCCCTCCTCCTCCTCCTCCTCCTCTCCTCCTCCTCTTCATCCCTCCTCTTCTCCTCCTCCCTCCTCCTCCTCCTCCTCCTCCTCTTGCTCTTCCTCCTCCTCGTTCTCCTCCTCCTCTTCCTCCTCCTCTTCTTCCTCCTCCTCCTCCTCCTCTTCCTCCTCCTCCTCCTTCCTCGTGTCGCTCGGGTTCGCAGCCTTGCAGAGGGGGGGGCGCCACAGGCGACCTCGGTTTCCTTGGCCCTGGGGCTGGCGCCGCGCGGGCGTGCACTCGGGCGTGCCTGAGCGCGCGCGCGCGGATTCCCTGCATCGTCCGGCGACTCTGCTTTCCCAGCGCGCGTTTGTTTGCTTTGCGGCTGTGCCTTTCCCCTGACCAGTCCCCCTCCTCCATCGCAGCCCCCAGATAAGTTGAACCAGCATCGGCGGTTACCTCCAACGAAGGGCGGTTCTCCTGGTCGTGGCGATGGTGATGCTCGGGCTTCTTGGTGCTACCTCGGCGGGGGAGCGATTACCGCGAGCACCCAAATCCAGGATTGCCCCTCCCCGTATGGAGGCAACGCCCTATGTTGGTGTTGGTACCCACTCCCGAGCCCTCTCTCTCTCTCTCTCTCTCTTTCTCTCTCTGAAGAAGAAGAAAAGAAGAAGACGAAAAAGAAGAAGAAGAAGAAGAAGGACGACTGGCACAAGCATAAGAACGTTCGCAGATCTGTGTGGATTTCTTGGATCGGCGCCCGAGCTTCCCTGGCGGCACCCTTGCCCCCTCCCTCGCCGCGCCGCGGCGCCTTCTTCGCCTCCCCTGCCGCGCCTGGCGCGAAAGTGAGGGGGGGGGGGGGGCAGCGCCAATCCAGAAGATCCTCGCAGTGGAGGCGGAGGAGGAGGAGGAGGAGGAGCGAGGTGGGGAGGAGCGATGTGGGGAGGAGTGTGTGTGTGTGTGCGGAAGAAGAGACTGCTCCTTACTAGGATGATGAGGCTGACGGTTGCGGACCTCTGGAGGTTCACGTTCGATTTCTTTTAGCATCTTCTTCTCGACGCGCAGAAGCAGCTGCGGTCCCTTGCGCCTGTCCCCCCGCCGAGACCCGGACGACGAGTACACCTACTCGAGCTTCACGTGGTGGCAGACGAAGAAGAACTTCAACTCCTGGCGGAAGGGGCCCGCCTTCCAGGAGGAGCGGCCGCGCGGGGGGGGGGGAGGAGGAGGAGGAGGAGGAGGAGGAGGAGGAGGAGGAGGAGGAGGAGGAGGAGGAGGAGGAGAAGAGGAGGAGGAGGAGGAGGGGCCTGCCTTCCAGGGGGGGGGGGGCAGGTGGGGCGGACGGCGCGGCGACGTGCGCAGACCTCCGCCGTCGCAGGTGTTCCTGCAGGCTTTGGGGCCCTCGAGGTTCTGCTGGGCTCCGTCCTCGGGGCACACCTTTTCGTGCCTGTGGCTTCTCTCGGGGGCGGAAAAGCGGGGGGTGATGACTTGGGGGGGGGGGTAATATCATGGCGGGGGCCATGATATTTCCCCAGGTTTCATGGCGCCTCTTCTTATTTCATTACGTCTCTGGCCCCCCCGCTGGGCCGCGCACATGCCGCCGGTCATGATTTGCGCCCCCCCCTCTTGGACACCCCCCTCTTGGCCGCTCCCGATTCTCACGTGTGCTGACAGGTCTACAGGGCACGACGGTGGACTTCGCGGGCCGAGGACAGGAACAAAAAATACGTCCGGCCAGAGAGCTCCCGCCGTATGCTTCTCTCGCGACGGCTCGAGGTGCGGGCCGGGAGTCGCTTAGAAGAGGAGGAGGAGGAGGAGGAAGGGGAGGGAATGGGTCAGGATGGGTCGTCTTGGACTGGGCACTTCCTCAGTTCAGGCGTGATCCCAAGGAGGAGGAGGAAGAGGAGGAGGAGGAGGAGGAGGAGGAGGAGGAAGAGGAGATCAAGCAACAGGCTGCACCACTGGGGGGAGCGTGGAAGTGCAGGAGGCACCTCGTCTTGTGCGAGGGCCTTGCCTCTTCGGAGGGCACGGGGTGAGGCTCAGCTGCGCCCCATAGCGCTCTCTCTCTCTCTCTCTCCAAATTCGGCCCGTGCGATTCTTCCTTCACAGACTGTGCACGCGCCAGACGACTGTCGCATGGAGTTCGCTGCCCGAGGATGCGCTGGAACTCGGGCGCGAACTAGATTTCATGTCAGGCCCGTCCCTCTACAGGAGGAGTATTTGAAATAGCTTAAAAATTACTCTGGGGACGTTCTGGGGTATTTTGGTGTATGTTTTGGATATTTTCCTACCTAGGCTCTGCCTAGAAGGGTTCTTACTCTCTAGCTTAAAGGGGCCGGGCAGTGGAAAGCGCCCCGGGCGGTTCCCCCAGTCCCCGCCCCGCGGTTCCCCCAGTCCCCTGGGAGCTTTAGTATTTAGCTTTTAGCTTGTAGCTTTAGCTTTAGCTTTAGCTTTAGCTTTAGCTTAGCTTTAGCTTAACCTTAGCTTAGCTTTAGCTTAGCTTTAACTCAACTTTAGCTTAGCGTTTGTTTAGCTTTAGCTTAGATTTAGCTTTAGCTTAGCTTCAGCTTAGCTTTAGCTTAGCTTTAGCTTAGCTTTAGCTTAGCTTTAGCTAGCTTTAGCTTAGCTTTAGTGTAGCGTTGGCTTAGCTTTAACTTAGCTTCAGCTTAGCGTTAGCTTAGCGTTAGCTTAGCTTTAGCTTATGGTTAGCTTAGCTTTATCTTTAGCTTAGCTTAAGCTTATAGACAGCTTAGCTGTAGCTTATATTTAGCTTAGCTATAGCTTAGCGTTAGCTTAGCTTTAGCTTAGATTTAGCTTAGCTTTAGCTTAGCTTCAGCTTAGCTTTAGCTTAGCTTTAGCTTAGCCTCAGCTTAGCTTTAGCTTAGCTTTAGCTTAGCTGTAGCTGAGCTGCAGGTTAGCTTTAGCTTAGCTTTACTGTTACTACTAATGCTGCTTTCCTAGGGGCTCCAACTCATAGGTAGGGCCGCACTGGGATAAATTAAAGGTACTTTGGGATATTGTTTTGCTTATTCTTTCTTTTTCGCCTAAAATCGGCCTGTAGGGGGACAGGCCCGACCCAAAACGGGATCCAGACCGCCGCAACCTCTCCGTGCCCGCTGCCAGGGCCAGAGCTCCCTCGGCCGCTTTTTGGCGCCCTGGGCCTCGGCTCTTGCCCGCCGCACGGCGCCCGCACGACAGAGCTCCCCTCGGGCCGGCTGTGCCTCTTGGTATTTTTGAACCGGCCCCCATCCCGCATCCCCAGACCCCCTCGGGCAATGAGAACACCATGACGGAAGGTTTTTCGCCATTTTCTGCCTCCTGGGGGCCCTTACCGGCCCTCGGGACCATCAAAAAACAACTGAGTGTGAAAACAACATTTTTCAGCCGCTCCCCATCCCCATCCCCATCCCCTACGGGGCGTGAAAACGACCACAGCCACTGCTTTTCTGTTGTTTCCGCCTTCCAGCCCGCAGAAGCAAAGCAGTGGTTGTGGTCGTTTTCGCTGAGCTTGGCACCAGGGAAATGACCACAGCCACCAGGGGCCGGCTGGAAGGCGGCGCAAACAAGAAGCAGTGGTTGTGGTCATTATCCCATCCCGCATCCCCAGACCCCCTCGGGTAATGAGAAAATCATGGCGGAAGGGTTTTCGCTATCTTCGGCCTCCTGGGGGCCGTTACCGGCCCTCGGGACCGTCAAAAAACGACTCAGGATGAAAAACCGGTCCAGGGGAATGGGTCGAGACCTCAAGGGGTCGACGCAATGAAAAAATCATGACGTTGGGGGTCTGGGTCCCCATCCCCTTCGAAACCCCTACCAAATTACCCCCCCAGTTGGGGAAACACACTTCGAAACCCGAAGAATACGGCCCATATCCCCATCTAGGGGGGTAAGTCGGCCAGAGGGGCCCAGGCCACGCCGCTGGGGATGGGGATCGGTTAAACGATACTCAACCTCGCGCCTGAGGGGGGGGTCGGGGGCACTCTTGCTCCCAGGCATGCGACGTCCTGATTTTTTCCGATTCGTGGCCCCTGGCCGTCCCGAGCCGTTCCCCGGGACCGGTTTTGTTTCGTCCCGAGTCGTTTTTTGACGGTCCCGAGGCCAGGCGAGGGCCCCCCGAGGCCGAAATGGGCCAAAAACTTCCTGTCATGATTTTTCCACGACGCGATCATGTTTGGGTCTTTTTCGGGTGTCGCCAAAGGTGTCCCTGGCCCAAGGTGTCCCCAGGATTTTTTGGGGAAGGCCCAGATTCGGGCACTCAGAGAGCGCCCACTCAGACAAGTCGACTTCGGAAATCTGCACTGGTTCACTCGACATTGGCATTCGTGTGCACCAGTGCAGTCCCCAGTCGGTTTCGCTCATCGACGTGCTTTTAGCTTTGGTTTCTGGACGTCGATTAGCTCATCGACTTACGTCTATGTGCTGCTTGTTTCGCTGATCGACCTGCGTCTTGCTGATCGCTAATAATCAGTCTCTAGTGTTTGTACGTCGATTAGCTACCCCCGCTGGGGTCAACTCGGAATGCGGTTTCATGCGCACGTGGAGTGCACTTGGCAGTTTTAGCTAAAGGGCGTTTCGCTGTAGGGGGGGGGCTTCTGCCCCCCCCCGGCAGATGGCCTCCGAAGCACCCTTCACGAGGCCCAGAGGGCACCATTCTCCTCCTCCTCCTCCTCCTCCTCCTCCTCCCCCTCCTCCTCCTCGTCCTCCTCCTCCTCCTCCCCCTCCTTCTCCTCCTCCTCCTCCTCTCCTCCTCCTTCCCCTCCTTCCTCCTCTCCTCCTCCTCCTCCTCCCCTCCTCCTCCTCCTCTCCTCCTCCCCCTCCTTCTCCCCTCCTCCTCCTCCTCCTCCTCCTCCTCCTCCTCCTCCTCCTCCTTCTCCCCCTCCTCCTCCGCATTCGCCCCCTTCCGGGCTTCCCTCCGGCCCTTTCCTCTGCGCCCTCCCTGCTCTCCACAGGAGGATCCCCACGGTCCAAAGTGGAGCGGGCAGCTGGGGGCGCCTCGGGACCGTGGGCCGCCCGCGGGGCGGCCGCGGCGGCGCGGGGCGGTGCCGAAGAGGGCCCGGACTGCCAGAGAACCCGACGGCGGGCTTCGGTTTTCGGCTGCACGTAGCAGAAGGATTCCGATGGGATCCTTGGAAGGAATCCCATGGATCTCCGAAGGGTTCGTATGGGGCACCCAGGATCATCACTTTCCTCTTATTCATCAGCAGCAGCATCAGCAGCATCATCATCATCGTCATCGTCATCGTCATCGTCATCGTCATCATCATCATCATCATCATCATCATCATCATCAGCAGCAGCAGCAGCAGCAGCAGCAGTAGCATCATCATAAGCATCATCATCAGCAGCATCATCATGATCATCATCATCATCATCATCATCATCATCATCATCATCATCATCATTATCATCGTCATCATCATCATCATCATCATCATCATCATCATCATCATCACCATCATCATCGTCATCGTCATCGTCTTCACCATTATGAAACGATCTCCAGGAAAGAGTTGATTCTCCCCTCTGGACGCCGATTTTTCGATCCCCGTTTAATATTTGGGGCGGTCGGTCAAGAGTGACCTTTGGTGGGCAGCTTTTGGGGGGCGCGCGGGGGCCAAGCCCAAGCGCGCAGGCCGCTGCGAACGCACCGCATCCAGCGATCGGGGGCCCCCAGCAGGCCCGCACCCGAGGTCACCCCTGCGAGGGGCGCCTCGCGCCCCTGCGCGCGCGCGAGCGCCTGATTTGATTATGGTTCGCTCTTCGTTTGTCTGGCGCGCGCGTCGCCGCCATGGACGACGACGGCTTCCCAGCCTTCGTCGAAGGGGGGCCGCCGACAGAGCGCGGCGCCCTCGAAGAGCCCTCGTCGAAGGAGGGACGCCTTGGGCCAGGCCCGCGTCGAGCAGCATCCCCTCGCCGGCAGGGGGCGCCCGCGAGGCCTGCGGGCCCCCCCCGCGGGCCAGCGAGGGGAGCCTCGGGAGCGGCAGCGTGCGCCGAGCAGGGCGAGGGGAGCCGGGCGCCGCCGTGGGCCCCCCCTCCGCCAACCCCGGCTGGGGCCGTCCTCGAAGACGAAAAAAGCAACCTAGACATAAACTTTTGGCGCTCCGCGCGGGTTTCTTGGATCCGCTTGGGCCCGTCGGCGGCGCCTCCGGCGCCGCCCCTGGCGCGCTCCGCGCGCCAGGGAGGGGAGCCGCCCGGCGCGGATCCAAGAACCCCGCGCGGAGCGCCAAACGTTTATGACCATGTGGTTTTTCTGATTCTATGTGCCCCCTTGCTGGGAGTCGTGGCTGGTGGGGGTGCTCCTCCCGCCTCCGAGGCGTGAGCGGGCCGCGCGCTGGCGGGCCGCGGGGTGTCCGGGGCGCGCGGCGTTGACGCGCGCTTCCGCTGGCATGAATGAGTGTAAAGCAGGGCTAGGATCGGGATAATTCGCTCCAGAGCGTTCCGGAGCGCTCTCAGAGCGTTCCGGAACGCGCTGGAGCGGCCGCGGCGCCCAATACATCCTCCAAGACCTCCGACTCTCAGAGATTTCAAGTTATCCCGATCCGATGTTGTCCCGATCTTCGTGTCGTTTTAGAATGACTGAGGGGCATGCGAGGCACAAGTCGTCTGTCGCAGGCGGCGGCGAGCTTAGGCCCGAGGCGCAGGGGAGCAGCGGCCGGGGCCGCGGCAGAGCTGCAGAGCATGCGCGCGGCAGGCAGCCAGCCTGCCAGCAGGTGCCCCGCGGATTTTGTTCTTTCTCTCCCGAGGGCCGCAGTGGGCCTGCTCACGGGCGCTTCGCCCTGGCGCGAAGTCGGGCATGTCTTTCTACGGGAGGAAGATCCGGGCATGGTTCGAACAACTCGTCTGGGGACGATGCTTCGTGCTCTGTGAACTATGTTGGTTTAGTGTTTGACTATATCTCATTTTTCTTCCCAAACCCGCATGTAGGAGGACAGGGTTTAGTGTTTGACTATCTTTCATTTTTCTTCTCAAACCCGCCTGTAGGAGGACACGCCCGACCTGAGCCTGGCGCGTCGCGCCGCTGGGTTCTGGCGCGCGACGCCTCGGCGCGACTCGCGATCCGCGTCGCCGTCGCCGAGCGTCAACGTCTCGAGTTGTCCCCCAGCCCCCCGCGCTTCGGAGCAGAGCGACATGCTTTCCGCTCGCAGGGCATCGCATGTAGCAGGGGCCGCCGCCGCAACACGTTGAGGCGAAGTTCCCGACCGTATGCATTGATGCCCCCAGGGGCCCACATAGACTCAGGGGCATCGTGGGTCCCACAAAGATCGACGAATGCTGCGCCCCGGTGCAGATGGAAAGGGAAGAGCCACGATGTCCTCCGATGTGTGTGTGTGTGTGTGCGTGCGTGCGTGCGTGCGTGCGTGCGTGCGTGCGTGCGTGCGTGCGTGCGTGCGTGCGTGTTTGCGCGCGCGTGTGTGTGTGTGTATGTATGTATGCATGTATGTATGTATGTATGTATGTATGTATGTATGTATGTATGTATGTATGTATGTGTGTGTGTGTGTGTGTGCGTGCGTGCGTGCGTGCGTGCGTGCGTGCGTGTGTGTGTGTGTGTTTTTCAGTGCGCGGCCCCAGTGGTGCCCGACCCCTTCCCCGGGGCAAGTCCTTTGCCCCAGATCCGTTTTTGATTGCCCCGGACCCGATCAAGGGGACCCTGGAGGCCGAAATCCAGGCAGCGCGCGCCGGGATCCAAGGCGCCCCCCCCTTCGCCGGAGAGCCGAGGGGGAGGAGTGGCGTGGCAGCGAGCGCGCTGCGAGCGCGCGCCGGGCCAGGCGCACGGAGGCGGGGACATCCTCTCCTTCCTGGGCATGATCGTCAGCGGCTTCATGACCTCCAAGGGCCCCCCCAAGCCGTGCTTCTGGCGCGGGGAGCAGGCGCGCCGGGCGCGCGAGCGAGCGCAGACGTGGCGCCCCCTCTCGCGGGGAGGGCGGGGGAGGAGGGGCGGGTCGGCCGAGGGGCGGCGAGGAGGGCGAGCGTTCCCAGACCTCCTCGGGTAATGCAGGAATCGTGACAAGCGGTTTCTCGCTATTTTCGGCCTCGGGGGGCCCTCGCCAAGCCTCCGGACCGTGAAAAACTATCCAGGATGAAAAACCGGTCCAGGGGAATGGGTCGAAACCTCCAGGGGTCGACGTAATGAACAAATCATGACGTCGGGGGTCTGGGTTCTGCGCCCAGGCGGGCAGCTGGCAGCCATGGTCGAGGAATCAGCAAGCATCCTTATAGTCATTGGCATGCGCAGCTATACGCGCCCATCGCGCAGTGTTACAGTCCGTGGCGTGTCACGTGTACACTTGCGGACTTCATGCCTTTGCCATTTCAGTCAAGAGATGTCCTGAAGAGGCCCTGGAGGCCGAAAGCTAGACAGAGCCACTGAAACGGGCACGTTCTTGAGAGCGCCATACGAGTCAGGGTCGGAGGATGGCGCCGCATCGCCGATGCATCGCCGATGCGACTCAATGTGGGGCCCGACTTGCTTCACGTCCACGTCGCCGATGCATCGCCGACGTCGACGATGCATCGCCGGTGCATCACTGGTGCATCGCCAATGCATCGCCGATGTATCGGCGATGTGGCGCGATCCTCCGACCCCATCTACGCAGACCCTATCTAAGAGGCCTTTACTTGTTTCTTGTAAAACTCTGAAGGGCGTCCCAGGCGAGCCGTTGCCAGCGCAGGGTCTGCATCCACATTTTCGGAGAGGCATGGTTATCAAACTCGGCTCGCTGCCGCCGCTGTCGCTTGGATCCGCCTCTGGCGCGCTTCACCTTAACCTCCTCGTCCTCCTCCTCCTCCTCCTCGTCCTCCTCCTCCTCATCCTCCTCCTCTTTCTCCTCTCTCATCTCTCCTCCCGGCTCATTGCCGCGACATCAGACACGACCACGGCCAGTCACCGCTGCACCCTGTTGGAAGCGACTCTGTGGCCAAACGTTGGGCAGTGGCCAAGGTATTGAATCATGTGTCCCCCCAGACGTTGTGAAAACCTTTGGGGGAACAGTTGGGTGAGGACGAGAGAGAAGAGTAGGATTCGGGTGTCGTAAGGTCATAGCGGACCTGGAAGTACCAATGAGACTTCATTGTGCGATGCGCAATCGGAAAGGAGGAGCTGCGTACAAACGAGGATGAACAGGAGGATGAGTGGGAGGAAAAGTACGAGGACGAGAAAGGAGGAGGACGAGGACGAACGGCGGCAACGGCGGCAGGAACTGGAGCGGAAGGTGCGGGAGTAGCAGGAGGGTCAGGGGAACGCGGAAGAGGGGACGGAGGGGGGCGACAACGATGAGGAAGGATTCGGATCCAGGAACGTGGCCCGCGCTCTGGCGCAAGCGACACTCTCAACGACGGGGCGAAGCCCCAATGTTAAAATGAGGCGCCGGCTGCAGCGGGAGCACAATTCTGGAAGGAACGAGAACGCTCGGACTTGAAAACCACAGACGGAGAACAAACAAACAACAACTGTATGACCCCCAGTCGTGCGTTACCATGTTCTGCACCATGGCGCAAAACGCCACGCGTTTCGCGTAGATGGGCGTTCTCCCTTCATGGCCTCCTGCATGCCCTGGCGCCACATGTCCTCTCACCGCTGTTTGCAGGGCAGACTTGTGTGCGTTGTATGTAGACTTCCCCCGTTGGGTAATAGCCTCGTCCGTTGCATGACGCTTCGCAGCCATGGCTGTGGATCGTCAATCCACACGACTCGGCGCACGCAAGATTTGAATACAAACCATTGTGTGCCCCGCGAGAAACAAAACAACCAACTCACCTTGTGCGTAAAAAAGCATGGGCGGATTGGGGCCAGCGACTCTCAGGACACAACCGGGCGAGAGAGGAGCATCGCACTCATAGCCCCCCGGCAGCTCTCTCTCCCGGAGAGGAGCCGGGCTGCCTTCTCGAGCCAGCCGTCCACTCTTGGAGGACTTCGCCGCGCTGCCGCCCTTCGCGGCCTCGCTCGCGGCCGCCCCGTGGCCGCCCCGTGCGCTTTTTGGAGGGAGCTCCGCCGCGGCGCCGCGCCCCCCCGTGGCCGCCCCTCGGGCGGGCGCCCCGGGGGGGGGCACTGCCGCGGCGCTGCGCCGCGCCGCCGCCCCGTGGGCGCCCCGCGGCCGCCCCGCGGGCGCCTCGGTGGGCGCTCGGTGGGCTTCCTTCGGAGGTGGCGCCACGCCGCGCGCCTCGTGGGCGCCTCGTGGGCACCTCGTGGGCGCCCAGAGCGCCTCGTGGGCGCCTCGCCGTGCGCCTCGTGGGCGCCCAGAGCGCCTCGTGGGCGCCTCGTGGGCGCCGCCGCCCACGTGGCCGCCTCGGCGGGGCACCTCGTGGGCGCCGCCTGCGCCGGGCGGGCTTCTCCGCAGAGGGGGGCGCCCGCGCTGCCGCGGGTGCCGCCGCGAGGGGCGCCTCGGCGCCTCGTGGGCGCCCCGAGCCTCTGGGCTGGCACGGCGCGGCTGTCACAGCGCGGCTGACCTCGTGCGAAGGCAGGCAGACAGGCGGCTGACCTCGTGCGAAGGCGCGGCTGTCACAGCGCGGCTGTACAGCCGAGAAGGGTCCTGCTTGCCTCGTGCGAAGGCAGGCAGACCTCCGACGGCACGAGGCTCGCAGCCAGCGCTTCTTCGATCTCGGCTTGGGTCGGGCACGTCCCTCGAGCGGCGGCGCGCGGGCCCCGAGCGCCCTCGAGCGTCGCCGCGAGCGCGTGGTCTATCCGTGTCCTGCCCGCCCCCCCCCCGCGAAACTTTGAAAACACATCGCGTTGTTTCCATGATTTATTCGCGTGGCCCCGGGCGCCTTGGGTTTCGATGGCTTTGCTGGGGAAGGCGTGGCGTCCCCACGCCAAACATCGACGGACGTCCTGTGGTCGCAGAGTTTGGTTTCTTGCGGAAGGCTTCTTGTGGGCTGGCCTCCGCTGTACACCCCATCATTTACCCCACACAGCTTGCACCCCAGAGTTTCCAGCGGCCAGCTCTCACCTTCTAGCTTGCACTGCCCAGCTTCTCCCGCACAGATCTCACTCCCGTAGCTCGCACCACGTACCTTGCACGACAGAGTTTTCACCGCATTGCGAACACTTCACGGCTTTCACTTCAATGAGCGCGAAACAAAACATTGTTTGAGGTTCACGTGGGCAAATATTGAGCAATATAAGGGGGATGCGAATGCGGAGGGCGCGGATGAGGAGGAGGAGATGGGAGAAGGAGGAGAGAGATGAGGTTGAATACAGTCGAGCATATGATTCAGAAGCCTCCTGCTAAAAAGCTGGGACACCGTTTCTCCACCAACTTGTCAGAAAGCTGGCCCTGTGTCTTCCGCACGTCTACCTTTCCAGCGTCCACAACAAAGACTGGCTGAGGCTTGTTGTCAGAAGCTTCTGTAAAGTTCGCCCTGCGTTCTTGGATTTTGTTTCCTATACGTATCTTCGGCTGCAGGAGAAGTAGGAGGAGGAGGAGGAGGAGGAGGAGGAGGAGGAGGAGGAGGAGGAGGAGGAGGACAAGGAGGAGGAGGAGGAGGAGGAGGGGATGGAGGAGGAGGAGGAGGGGGCGGAGGAGGAGGCCCCCTTGGGGCCTCCTGGGGGCCTCTGAGGGGACTTTTGGTTGCCTCTTGGGGCTTCTCAGGGGCATCAGATGGCGTCTTCGGCCTCTCGGGCCGTCTCGGAGTCTCCTGGCCCGTCTGACGCCCTCCGCGGCCGTCTTGAGGGCTTCTCTGGGCTGTCTTGGGCTCCTCTTGGGTCGCTTTCGGGCTGTGTTGACAGTCCCTTGGGCCGTTTGGGGGGCCCTCTTGAGGCCGTAATGGGGTTCCCTTGGGCTGTGTTGGGTCCCTCTTGGCCCGTCTTGGGGCCCTCTTGGTGGCTTCTTGGGCAATCTTGGGGCGATCTTGTGGGCCTCTTGCGTCATCTTGTACCGTCGGCTGCGCGAAAAGGGGAGCTGACTGAAATCTTTAAAGGTTGTCAGCAGGTTGGTCCTATCAGGGTCTTCCTGGAGGGACTCTTGAAACAATTGTGTGGCGTTTTGGAGGGCTTTGGGAACGCCTTGAGGCGGTATTGGGACGGCTTGTGGTCATAGTTTGGCAGTTTTGGATGCGCTTGGGGCGGTCCTGAAAGCCATTTTGGACAGTGTTGGGCCGTCTTGGAGTCCCTGTTGGGGGCCATCTTGGGCGTCTTCGAGGCAGGGGGAGCGCCTTCGGTGATCTTTGTGTTTGTTGTTGCTCGTTTGGCTGACGGGACGGGACAGGACCTCTCACGCAACAAATGGGCGGCGAATCGAAAACGCCCACCACGAATCACCCCCCCCTGCCCTTCAGGATACGCCTATATGATTCAACGTTTGGGCAAAGTTTGAGCACGCTATTGGAACATGTGTTCCCCCCGCCGTTGTGGAAATCACGTGGGGAGACTGAAGAGGAGAGGGAGGAACAGAGATGAGGAGAAGGAGGAGGAGGAGGAGGAGGAGGAGGAGAAGGAGGCCTCTTGGGAGCCACTTGGGGCACTCTTGGGGCCTCCTGGGAGCTTCCTGGGTGTCTTGAAGCCTCCTTGGGCCTCTTGGGGCCATTTGCGGGCTTTTAGAGGGCTCCTTTGGCCGTTTTAAAGAGTTCCTGGCCCCCAAACCGCCGTCGGAAGGCGTCTTTGGGGGCTTCTCTGAACCGGCTTACGGCCCTCTTGGGGTGTGCCAGGGCCGTCTCAGAGGCCTTCACGGGGCAGTCTTGGAGGCTTTCTGGGGCAGTTATAGGGCTATCTTGGAGGCCTCTTGTGCGATCTTGGGGCGGTCTTGGAGGCCTCTTGGGAGCGTCTTGGGCCGTCGGAAAGCCGAAAACAAGCAAATGCCACACTCTTTCAACCACCTGAGGATAATCACTGTATTATGCTTCCTCGGTCCTTCCTGGAGGCCCTTTCGGAGGCCCCTGAGGGGCCTGTTGGGCCGTCTTGGGCCATCTTGTTGGCAGTCTTGGGTGCATCTTGTTGGCAGTCTTGGGTGCATCTTGGGGCCATCATGGGCCCTTTTGGGGTCATCTTGGCCGTCTTGGAGGCCATCTTGGGCCATGTAGGAGTGAGGGAGGCAGACATCCCGCCAGACTGGGGATGGTTCCGGGTGGCTGGCGCAACGGGCCGGAGCTCTCGGGGGAGCGTCAACAAGAGTCGAACGCCATCAGACGTGCAGCACGCCAGGGGCCCCTGTAATAAATCAACAGGGGGCGGCGGATGACGGAAAAAGCGCGTAGTGCAGCGACCCGTCCGCCGGGAGCAATGGCAAGGGTGTGTGGGGGGTAGGCAGGAGTAGCCTCAGACCTAATGGCCCCAATGTTTCGCCATGTTCGGCCCAAGACGGCCCCAGGAGCGCCCAAGAGACTCCCAAGACGGCCCAAGACGTTCCCTAGACGCCCTCACATACCTCCAAGACGGCCTCCGGGAGTCCCAAGAGGGCTCGAAGACGGCCCAAGGCCGCTCCAAGAGGGCCCAAGATGGTTTCAGGATGGCCAAGGAGGTCCTCATGACGCTCCCCATGACGCTCCAAGAGGCCCCCCAGAGGAGCTCCTTAGGAAAACGTAGTTGGTTTGCAAACACGCTTCTTCGGTCTTCACAGCGTCCAAGACGGCCCAAGAGGCCCCGAAGACCGACCCAAGACGGCCCAAGAGGCCCCCAAGACGGCCCGAAAACGGCCCAAGTGGGCTCCAAGACGGCCCAAGTGGGCTCCAAGACGGCCCAAGAGACGCCCCTGGGGGCCCAAAGGTTCCCAAACGAGCCCCAAGAGGGCCACAGGAGGTCCCCAAGGGGTCCTGGAGGCTCCGAAGAGGGCCCCAAGACGGCCCTAGCCCGCCAAAACAGCCCAAGAGGGCCCAGGGACGGCCAAAGAGGGCCCCACGATTGCCCAACAGAGCCCCAAAAGGACACCCAGGGAGGCCCAGAAATGCAGTATTCATTGATGTTCGCAAGGTTTTTTGCTAGATGTTTGTATGTCGCACTAAATCCTTAACACCAGCAGGGCTCCAAGACACCAGGCCAGCGACCTCGCGCCCTCACAAAGTACACGCGCTTTCCGTCCCAGGTCGAGTGGCCTTCGGCCTATAACGCAGCCGTGCTTGGGTCTCGGACAAGAGGCTTCTTAGAGGCCTCTTCGGGTCCCTTGGGAAGCCGTTCTGGGGCCTCTCGGAAAGAATTTGATGCCTTCTTGGGGCCCCTCCGGGGCCCCCCTCGTGCCTCTCGGGGGCGCCTTGGGCTCCCCCATTCTTCCCCCATGTCCTGCCTCCCTCCCTCCCTCTCTCCCTCCTCGTCTCTCCCCTCGCGCCTCGTGGGGGCGTCTTGGGCTCCCCCGTCCCTCCCCCTTTTATCATGCCTCCCTCCCTCCTTCTCTCCCTCCTCGGCTCTCCCATCTCGTCTTTCATCCCTTTGGAGGCAACTCATGGGAAGTTAAGTTCAGCATCAGCGCTGGTCGATATCTATAGATATGTGTATATGTATGTATATGTACACACACATGCATACACATACAGACATCCATATGTACATATTTATATATATAGCACCCCGCAATTGCGGATAAGAGTGAGGGGGCGGGCGCGGGCGACGCGGGCGTCGTCAAGCCGGCGGACCTCGTGGCCCCCACCTTCCTTGTCGATGGCGCTCTCCTCCTCCTCCTCCTCCTCCTCCTCCTCCTCCTCCTCCTCCTCCTCCTCCGCCTCCTACTCCTCCTCCTCTTCCTCGTCCTCGTCCTCGTTCTCATCGTCATCGTCGTCCTCCTCCTCCACCTCGTCCTCCTCCTCCTCCTCCTCCGCTTCTTCCTCGTCCTCCCTCTCCCCCCCTCGTCCTTCCATCATCGTCCTCCCATTGTCGTCATGTTCCTCCTCGTCGTCCTCCTCCTCTTCCCCCCCTCCCGATCCTCCACCCTCCTCCTTTTCGTCGTCGTCGTCGACGTCATCGTCGTCGTCCCCTCCCTCCTCCTCCTCCTCCTCCTGCTGCTCCTCCTCCTTCTCCTGCTGCTCCTCCTCCTCCTCCTCCTCCTCCTCCTCCTCCCCCTCCTCGTCCTCCTGCAAAAGCAGCCCGCCGCAGGCGCCGAAAAAATTGGTTTGTACACTGAACGTGGTTTGGGTCGCGGGTGGGCCGCGGGTTCTCCACCGGGAACGAATGCAAAAGATGCTCGCCGCAGGCGCCGAACAAAATTGGTTTGTACCCTGAACGTGGTCGCGGGTGGGCCGCGGTCTCTCCACCTAGAACGATTCAAAAGATGCCCGCCGCAGGCGCCGAAAAATGTGGTTTGTACCCTGAACGTGGTTTGGGTCGCGGGTTGGTCGCGAGTTGATCGCGGGGTGGGTCGCGGGCTCTCCACCTGGAAGGAATGCAAAAAAAACCCGCCGCAGGCGCCGAAAATGTTGGTTTGTACCTTGAACGTGGTTTGGGTCGAAGGTGGGTCGCGGGTGGGTCGCGGGGTGGGTCGCGGGTGGGTCGCGGGTGGGTCGCGGGTGGGTCGCGGGCGGGTCGCGGGTGGGTCGCGGGGTGGGCCGCGGGCGGGTCGCGGGGTGGGTCGCGGGTGGGTCGCGGGTGGGTCGCGGGGTGGGCCGCGGGGTGGGTCGCGGGGTGGGTCGCGGGTGGGTCGCGGGTGGGTCGCAGGGTGGGTCGCAGGGTGGGTCGCGGGGTGTGTCGCGGGGTGGGTCGCGGGGTGGGTCGCGGGTGGGTCGCGCGGGTGGGTCGCGGGGTGGGTCGCGGGTGGGTCGCGGGGCGGGTTGCGGGTGGGACGACGACAACAAACAACAACAACAACAAACAACAACAACAACAACAACACGAATCCGCACCGCGGAATCTCACTTCAGCCACGCACCCAGGGACAATGAATGACCGTTCGGCCCCCTCACTCTGATATATATATATATATATATATATATATATATATATATGTATGCACGTGGTCGAATACCTGCATGATGCGGAACCAACCCGTTTGTATCGCTCTTGATATTGGGCAGAAGCCTGTTGTTTCAGCAGGCTTCATGGCTCCGTACTGCTGGAGCTCAGTATCCCTTCGTAGTTCTTGCGAAGACCTCGCTCCAGGTTGCCTCCTGACATCCTCTCCGTCCCTCCCCTCCCCCAGCCCTTCCTACCTATTCCCCCTCTCCTCTCCTCGTCCTCCTCTCGCCCCCCCTTTCCCCGGCGCGGCGAGGTGGACCTGCCGAGCAGCCCGCCCGCTGTCCGCTTCGACGGAGGCCCGGGCAGCAGGCGCGCGCCAGCGGGTGCCGGCCAGTTGGGCCAGGGAACAGCCTGGAATGTGTGGTGCTGTTGGCTGGGGTCTCCCTATAGCGTTTCCCCTCCCTCCCCCGTTCAGCCAGCGACGCCGCTCGAGCACCTGCCTGCGCACGCGCCTTGCGAGCTATGGGAGTAGAGCTCCCAGTGCGAAGGGATTTCTGCAGGAATGGTGGTGTAGGCATCAGGTTCTTTTTTGTCAAGACTGCAGCCACACATCCAGGCCAGAGCTTTCATCCCAGAGGTCGACGTATATAATTCGGTTGCTACGAACTGCCACACGCTGCACGCTGGAGCGGACTGCCTCTGCTTCGTCGCCGACGGAAACAACCAGTTGTTGGCCGGGGTCGTATGCGGCCGCTCCAGGAGGTGAGCCAGGGAAAAACAAGACGACGATACCGCTCCCCCCTCCCTTGTGCTCGTTATTTTTGTTTGGGCCTCCCCGCAGGCTCTCTCTCGTCGCCCCGGCTGGGTTCGCCGCGACATGCTGGTCAGGAGGCACCCCAGGTGAGGCCTGGGGAGTAGCGTTCTTGGTGGGATTAGAAGCGGAAGGAGGAGGAAGGAGGAGGAGGCGGAGGAGGAGGAGAATCAAGGAGGAAGGTTAACCCCCCATCTGCGAAAATCGTCAGCACATCGTCAGATCGATGGGCGCGCGTGCGTCCCTCCCCCATCCCCTCGAATGACTAGGTTGCTTAGACTTCCTTACACAAGGTGATGAATTAATTCCACGCCCCCCCGGATGAGAGTTGCGGAAAACGATCAATGAAGAGAAGGCATGCTGTCAAACCGTTCCCACATGTCTAAGACATGTTTCAAGCATGCTTAAACCATACAAAGACCATGTCTGAAACATGCTTGAAACAGATGTGAAGCATGACGTGCGCATGCTAGATCCCACGATGGGGCTGTTCGAGTGCCCAGTGTCATGTCTTCCACAAGATCAGAGTGAGCGGCGTGTGGGCCGCCTGGTTGGGCTCCCGGCCTCGAGAGCTCACGACAGGAGCCCGCCGCTCTCGCCCACGCGTTGGGCAACCGCCAGCCCGCCGCGGGCGCCGAGGCGGGCTCCGCGAGGGCAGTGCCTGTGGGTCGCGCGGCGCGCCGTCGACGGGCCACGCGGCTCGAGCGCCGCTGCGCAGGGGCGCGCCGGCGGCGGCGATCTCACCGCAGCGCCGTGTGGTCCGATCCTGGGAGGGTCGCGGCGGGGTCGCGCCTGAGCTGGGCACGGCGCCGCGGAGGCGTTTGACCGATCGCTCTGCGCGCGCGTCGAAAAACAAACTCGACGGGTTGGTCGCATGCGGGTCGCGCGGTGGGTCGCGTTGTGGGTCGCGTGGTGGCTCGCGCGGTGGGTCGCTGGGTTGGTCGCGGGCGGCTCGCTGGGATCGCGGGTGGGTCGCGGCTGGGTCGTGTGGTGAGTCGCGTGGTGGGTCGCGGACGGGTTGCCGCGCGGGTCGCAGGTGTCTCGCGGGTTGGGCCGCGTGGTGGGTCGCGGATGGGTCGCTCACTGGGTCGCGGGTAGTTGTGGAACGGGACTCCAGCCGTGCAGCTGGGGAGGGTGGCCGCGCGCTCGGTCGTTCTGATATTTGAATGTGGCAAAACGGGTGCCCCGAACGGTAGGAATAGGGAGAGGTGAGCAAGGAAGATGACCTTGAGAGAACGAAGGGAGAGAGGGGGGGGCAGAAATGGGTGGTGTAGAGAACCAGGAACAAAGGGAGAGGGAGAGATAGAGAGATAGAGAGGCATAGTGATAGTGAACGAAAGTGGGTAGGGAACGCGCGCACGCATCGCACCCCATCGACAGGACTGTCGGGCCTGGGATGCTTTTATGCGCGCTCGCGCTGCCCGTGCCCCTCCCCCCATCGCACACAGACGCGCTCTCTCTCTCTCTCTCTCTTTTTCTCTCTCTCTCTCTCTTTCTCTCTCTCTCTCTCTCTCTCTCTCTCTCTTTCACACACACACACACAATCACACACACACACACCGGTTGCCTCGCCGCGTCCTACCCTACGCCACCCCTTACAAGGCTGAAGGTAACACTCGTCGCATCCCCACGGATATCTTGCTGAGCGACTGCGGGCCTCGGGGTCTCGCCCCGCGCGTGAAATATCGCGCGGGCGCTGCGCGATTGACAATGCGGTGCGCGCGCCACGCCCTGCGCGGTGTCGCAGCCGGGCGACTTCAGCAGCTGACTGTGAGTTTCGCGCTGTGGTGGGTGCTCGGCGTGACGCGGGTGCCTCGCGCGGCGGGGCGGCGCTCGCGCGTTATGGGGATGATTGGCCCGTCGTGTTGGTGGGCTCGGTCTGTGTTTTTTTCCAGCGCGGGGGTCGGTTCTTGGCTCCAAGCAGCTTCTCCGCGCGACTTGGCAGCGCTCGCGCGCGCGGAGGGGAGGACTCGCGCGTCGCATCAGCGAAGTCCTTGGAACGCCATTGGTCGCGTCGGGGTTGGCGCGCGGCGCCAAGGCAGATTCTTCGCGCGAGCGGGCGGCGTTCGAGCGCGCGGGAGACAGCTCGCGCGCCACGTCGGCGGCAGTCTCGGCACGCTGCTTTCGCGCGGTGATCGGCGCGCGGCGCCGAGCAGCTTCCCCGCGCGATTTGGTGGCGTTCGCGCGCGCATGGAACGACGCGTGCATCGCATCGGCAGGAAGTTTGGAGCACGGTTCCCGCGCGGGGGTCGGCGCGCGGCACCAGGCAGCATCGTTGTGCGACCCGGTGGGCTCGCGCGTCGCACCGGCGGCGTTCTCGGGATGGGGCCTTCGCGCAGAGGTTTCGATCCGAGAGCAGCACGGCGCCTCGCTGAACGAGTAACACGCGTGCGCTGGGATGTCTTTGCAGACGCCTTGCGTATGCGAGCGCGTCGCTATGCGACCACCGCGTGGGGGGTGGGGGGCGTGCAAATCATGAGCGATTTGTTTTGGGCACCTCTCAGTCCGTGTCAGTATTCGTCGTGTGCTCGAGTATAATCAGGTCTCTTACGGGTATTTCGTGTTTCTTCAAGGTTGAATGCAAGCCCTCTGGCGGCGTCGCAACGGCGTCGCATCTCCTGTGGCCTCCCAGAACTTCCTGGCCTTTCCCGGGGTCCCGTGGCCCGTCTTGGGACGTCCTGGCGTTCCACTGTGCTCCTGGGGTACTCTGGCGTGTCCTGCAAGTCCCTCGAGCTCCCTGGACTTCCATCGGAATTTCTGGGACATCCTGGCGCTCCGTGAGGCTCCCCGGGGCTCGCTGGAGAAATCCTGGGGAGGCTGTTGGGACTCCGGAATCGTGGTCCTCGGAGCGCGGATCCCACGGCTTCTATGAAGAATCGCGGCCTCGGGGGCGCTGACCCTACATGTTGCTGCTTGTTGTTGCTATTCCCAGAAGACAAGGATGTTTTCGGGAGGCGGTGTGGACGAGAGGGGAATATGCTGGCCCAGAAATGCCGGAGGGAGGAGGGCTGGCCTAGCTCAGAGCGCGTCGTGAACGCGGCAACTGCCCGAAGTTGTCGGCGACGCAGCGGCCCGCAGGGCAAGGAGGAAAGGAAACACGTCTTCCCTGCGCAGCCCCCCCAAGAGCAAGGCCAGACGTCGACGGCTCCGCGGTGCTGCCCCCGGAGGTGTTCGTCTCCCTCCGTCGCTACGGCAGCGAGGCCGCGTGTTTTGCTCGCTCAAGCTCTTTTCGGAGTCCTGGAGGTAGGCGCTAGCAGTATTGGCGGCTGCCTCCGCCGAGGGAAGATGAAGATGATCATGATGTCGATGATGGTGGTCATGCTCGGGCAGCCGGGGCGCCCGGAACATTACCACCACCGCAACAAAATCCAGGGTCACCTTCAGCCTGTGGAGGCACCCCCCTGTGTTGGTGTGGGCGGCAGATTCCAGAACCCGACTCATTGCCTCTACCAGGTCGTCAGCTTTTCGTTTCCCTCCCCGCACAGGCTCCTGGCGACTTGGAAACAAACGCGCCAGAGCATGTGTCGCCGTCGTCGGCGTCCATGTAGCACTGCCAGATTGTAACCAAAAAGCGACTCAGGATGAGAAGCTGGTCCAGGGGGAGTTGAGAGCTTCAGGGGCCAGCGACTCAAACAAGTCGTCGCCTCGGGGTCTAGACTCCTTCTTCCAGCTGCTCCTTACATTACTCGTTGGATGTGATTCCTCGCATGTTCATGTTGTGTTTGCTTGGGGCGCTCTGGTCCAGCGCCAGTCCGAGCTCATGTCGGAGCTTCGGTGCTGAAAGGAAGAAGGATGAGCAGCGCAGCTGCGCTGGTCAGTGGGACGCTCCCGTCTGCGCCGTGGCCCATCGTCGCTCGTGTGGCCTTCCAGAGGCCAGCCCAGCTTCTACCAGGAAGTTGGACACGCATCGCGCAGCGGCCAGGGCGAAAGCTTGATGTGCACAGGCCGAGCATGTTCTGTGGGTGGAGGGCAAAGGGTGAAATCTGAAATGCCGTTTCGATTGAGTTTCGAGACTTGAATCTGCACAAGGTGAATCGCAGGATGGATTGATTCTCGAGGTGCGAAAGCCCATGTGGATTTCACCCTGAGCCCTCCACCCTAAGAAAATGCTCAGACGAGGCCGCACGTATGTCCAGCGTTCACCAGACGCCATCATCGGCATCGACATCTGCGCGACTCGTACTCCGCCCTGGCGTTGCGGCTTTGCTCTGGACCTCTGTTGCCTTCTAGCACGTCCTTCGCTCCTCTGCCACGCCGTCGTCGAGATTATGAGGCTGACCTCCAGCGTCGCTTGAAGATCTTACCTCAGGAGGTCATTAAGACTTCCCTTGCGGCACCAAGATACAACTTCCTGCGCCGGGAAGAGTTATCCTGGTACCGGCCGTCAGCAGGATGATGATGATGTTGATGATGATGATGATGATGTTGTTGGTGGTGATGATGATGATGTTGATGTTGATGATCATGGCGATGGTTATGATGATGATGACGATGATGGCGCAGTGCTAAAGTTATCGTTCTGCAAAAATCCCCTCCTGGAATGTATTACTATCGGTGCGGTGCTAGTGATAACCCTGGGGGCCTTCTTAATGACTCCCTGAGGTTACATTGCCTAAGAGGTCTCTGGCCATTTCGCTGCCGCTTCCTCCTCCCGTATTGTCCCTACTTTGCTGTCGCCGCAATTAGCTACGAACGCGTTTCGCCGTTAGCCCGACCGCTTGTTGGACCCAAGTAGCCGCAGCCCAGAAGGTATGTCCAGCGCTCGTCATTCGTGTGGCCGGATGCGCCGTGGTCTCTTCACATTCCGCACGTGGATCCAGCCACGCGTGCTTTCAGCTTCCCGGTAGCACCCTTGCACGTGCAGGGGCTCGTGAGTGTGATTGGGGATGGCTCGGTGTTCGCTTTAGACTTTGTCGCAGAGTCGGCCCAGGCCTCTCAGGAGAATAGGTTCTGGCCGCGTGCGTGTGTGCAGGAGAAGGCGGTGTTCACGGCGGGTGGGGGTAGGATGATAGAAAGGAGCACGTGAAGGATGATATCGATTGGAAAGATGACGGTTGGGGAGGCACACGAGAGCAGACTCGTGAGAGCGATGACTAGCACGAGTGTCTGGTTCGGGGGAACCTCCGAGTTGGAAGTCATCCGAAATCGCCGTGATCACGAGATTGTGTTTATCGATGGTGACAGCGGATATTAAGTGTGTTCGTTACGATTGTTGATGCGTCTCTGTTTGCCCACAGCTTGTTTGTGAGATTTGATTCTTCAAGCTTACGCCACATCCGCCGACCCCTTGTTTTTTTTTCTGGGGCGATCGCCGGTTTTGGGAGGGGCTCTGTTGGAGGCTCTGTGGTCCGGCGCCGCGTGCACGTTGGGGGGACGCGCCTAGAGGACGATAAAAGGGAGACGCCAGCCGCTACAGCTGAGGCGCGTCGGCTGAGTGCAGAAGCCATGTCATTGTCGACGCGTGTATGGGGGCGAGAAGCGGGTGAAGGAGGAGGGGACGCAAGAGGAGCGTGGGCGAGAACAGACGGGCGCGTAGACGTGCCAGAAGCAGAGCTCAAGCGACGCGAAGCAGAAGCTCGGGCATCTCAGACGAAGACAAGCGGGAATGCGTTGGAGGGTTCCGAAGAAGAGGAGGGTCGCGTGAAAAAGGTCCCCGGAGGCGGTGTTGAGGAGTTGCGGCGGTGGAAGGCACGTTTGCGCGGACCCAGCAGCGATCGCGTCGTTGATATGAATGAGAAACAGCGAGAGGTCGTCGAGAAGGTCGTCAACAGGATGATTGCTGAGTGTCAGGAAAACGACGGCACAAGTGGCAGTTCAGAGCCGCTGTTGTGGATGCTGCACGGAGGCCCAGGCACAGGGAAGAGCTTCGTGGTGGACACCTTACGGAAGCACGTTTTCGAGGGCGTGATGGGTTGGGAACACGGCCTGGACTTTCAAGTGGCTGCGTTACAAGCCACGAACGCGTCCAGTCTGGACGGGCACACGTTGCACGCCGCCTTTGGGATGAGTCCATACGGCTCCGGTCAGGACGCCAGTAAAAGGCGTGGAGAGCCGGGTGCAAAGAAGGTTGAGGCAGCGAAGCGAATTCAACAGTGGCGTTGGCTCATCATTGACGAAATCAGTATGGTGAGTGCAAATTTCCTTGCAGAACTGGATGCGCACTTGCGATCTGTGATGTCGGAAGCGAGGCAAGGGAAGGTGGGTTCCGATAAGGTGGACCGGCCGTTTGGGGGTGTGAATGTATTGTTCTGCGGAGACTTCTACCAGTTGGAACCTCCCGGCGGAACCCCGTTGAATGCGATTCCGACGTCGTGGGTGCGGAAAGCGAGGCAGTATGCGCCAAGCGCCGAAGAAGATCATGGTCATTCCATCTTCTGGGGCGACGGGCCAGGGTCGGTGGCGGGGATGACCGAATTGGTGGAGTGCAAGCGCTTGGAAGAGAAAGACGAGTGGTTCCTGGGAGTACAGGACGAGTTCCGACGGGGGGCCTTGACCGAAAGGACACACCAGTTTCTGCATGGAAGACCTACAGACGTTCCAGGGTCTTGGTTGGATGACAAGCCAATGTGTGGTTCACAAGCCTGCGCGCAGAACGTTGAAGCTATCGCAGAAAATAATGAGCGGGAGTGTGACAAGTGTAAAGAGGAAAGAAAGCGTCGATGTCTCGTAGCGACGAGTCCGACAGACGAACGATTCGCACTTCCGCAGTTCGTCGAAGCCACAGCGATTTATCCGAACCAGGATGTGAAGTGCAAGGTAGCGCGGCAGCGTGCTGTAGACTGGGCGGCGTGCCAGGAGAAACAGATTTCGTGGGTGTATGCGCGGGACACGGCACGTCACGCAACGTTTCAGGAACGGCCATACACCTCAGCAGACAAAGTGCGGTGGCTCGGATACCACGACAAAGCCTGTGCAGACATGCCAGGTTGGTTGCCGCTTGCCGTGGGCATGCCAGTTGCACTCACGGACCATTTGGACCGGTCAGAGAAGCAATTGCTACGGGGGTGCCGCGCGACGATACATTCGTGGGTGGTGGATGAAGACGAGCCAGACGTGGAGGACGTGGCGTCGAGAGTGCTTCGTGAGATGCCAAGGCAAATCGTGTTAGATTTTCACACCGACAAATGGACGCTCAAAGGGATGCCGGGACCAGGGCTCTATCCCATTGTCCCTCGTGCCAGAACGTGGCACCTGGATTCGTACCGCAAGAAACCCGTGTTGGGGGTGCGACGGAGACAGTTTTTAATTTCACCCGGGTTGGCCTGCACGGCGCACGCAGCGCAAGGGCGGACGCTCGACGCAGTTATAGCGGATTTGGAGGAAGGCAGGAACGTCAGCTGGATGTCGAGCTACGTGGCCATAACGCGCGTGAAGACTCGCCGCGGCTTGCTCATCTATCGGCCATTTTCGAGACAGCCGCACACGCAAGGAGGCATGGAAGGAACGAAGCTGTTGTTGCAAAAGTTGCGCGGGGAGACGTTGCCGTGGTCCGAAATCGAGAAGAAGGTGATGCCGCGGAAGACGTGCGGGAAATGCTGCGAAGTGAAGGAAAAGGCTGAATTCACGACGAATGAGTTCGCCGCGAAGTCGGGCCCGAGCTTCTGCTGCGACTGCATGGAGAATTTGAAGGGGGCAGGAGAAAAGTGGTGCACGACTTGTGAGCAATGGGCTGAGATGGCGTCCACAGTGGCGGGAGGGGGGGTCGAAAGGAATAGAGTGTTCGTGCGGACAAGCAAATGCGACCGGTGCGCAGGGCCCGCCGCCGCACGGAAGTCACGGAAGACATCGGAGGCGTGGCGGGGGCAGGTGCAGGAGAAGTTTAAGATTCGATGCGGTGAATGCCTGGAATTCCTGAAAACGGAGGCAGAAATTGCGGCGAACCAGTATGCGACGAAAAGCGCGGGAGAGAAGCTCTGCAAGAAGTGCGCGGGGAAAAGAAAAGGCGGGTGGAACAAGTGGAGCAAATCGCAGAAGGAAAGAGAGTGCGAGAACGAGATGAACGCTGCGCGACGAGCTGCGCGCCAACAGAAGCCGCTGAAATGTTCTGCGTGTCCGTCAGAAGCGGATGGAACAGGGGGGACGTTCACAGACACACGACATTTGACGCCGGATCAACTGCAGAAGTACCACAAAACGGGCGCAGGCCATAGACCAGTGATGTGCCGATCATGCCAGGAGGAGCACGAGAAGTCGCGGGTGC